CTGATGTAAACAAATCAGTGTAGAATTTGGAAATATGATTCTCTATTGCTTCATGGTTGTCAAAAACCTCCCCAGTAGGATTTACAAGCTTGGTGATAGAATTTGTGTGTCTTCTCTGAGAAACAAAAGCATGGAAAAACTTAGAATTGCAACCCCCCTCTCTGAGCCACAGGGATCTAGATTTACTTCTCCAGTATCTTTCTTCCTCACAATGAGCTTGATCAAGATCATTCTTCACTTCACCCCATTCCTCCCATTTGATATCCCTTCCTTTGCACCTCATATCAGTCATCTTCTTAGTCAACACCTTAAAGACCCTCTTACTATTTCTATGACTCGGTTTGTGCCAAGCAAGAAGGGCCATTCTGGTGTGCTTAATTTTTTGGTGCACCTGGAACACTGCAGAGCCTTCCACCCTGACTTGCCACCCTTCTTTAACAGCTTCTTGAACACCCTCATGGCCACCCATCTACTATTGAATTGGAACCTTTTATGTCTCCTGGTTACTTCTCTCTCAATATCAAACAGAAGAACATTATGGTCAAAGGCAGTTCTAAAGTAGTTAGAAGCCTCCATTCTGAGAAATTTGGATAACCAATTAGCAGACACAAATATTTTATCCAGTCTTTCCTCTGCAAATCCATCTCCAACTATGTTATTTTCCCAAGTAAAAAAAGACCCTACCACTTAATTTATATTAATTTATATGATTTTATCATTATTGGCTGTGCTAATACTAGTGTTGATGGATGAGGGGCGCCTGCTGTGTATTTTTAAATAGCACCTGCTGTGACCCCTCCCTCACTATTGGATCATATTAAGTAACATGATCCAATGGTGGGGACGGGTCAGAGCAGGGAGCCCCCCACCCAGTGTTGATAGGTCCATTGTTTACAATAACCCTTCACCTGGCAAACTACCACGCCAAAAACCCCCTTGTTCTATTTCTCAGCTTCCCAAAAAAGCTTAAGGTAATCGAGTGACCAAATCATGATCAAAGGCGGCAAATCATCCGTGTTAACATTCGCCGACAAATGCAAGGTTAATATTTTTCCCATAAACACTGCCTGCTAGTCTATGCTCCGACCTGTAAACCCTTTTTTTTTTTTTTGGTTTGGGTTTGTTTGTTCTCTTTGCAGAGCATACTGGCTTCCAATTGGCAAGGTAGCCTTAACACCGTCAAAGCCGACGCTCAAGGAAGGTATGTATGCCTACAAGAATACTGTTTAATTCGTTTGCAATGGCAACCCAGGTTTACATTTTCCGTCTTGGTTCCTTCTATGGATTTCAGTAAGGAGGAGATTTACACTTCAAAAGTTAAGTATTTTGTGAAGAAAGGAAGGCCCTATATTTGGGTGCCTGAGAAGGATTTGCATAATGTGGTATGGTTGCCTCTGCATATGTGCTCTCTGTATTGTGCTTCTATATTAATTTTGTTCCCCAGAATTGCTTTAGGTAATTTTTGGTCAAAATCAGATTTGCGTTATGGCATCAAAACTGATCCCTTATCCCTACCGTGACCAGCTAGCCAGTTTCATGCACGTTTCTATCTTCTTGGATATTTACTTATGTGCCGACAATTTGATACCATTTTTGCTATCAGCTCTTTATGTCGTTTTTATTTGGTTGCATTTGTCAAAGAGAGGGGACCTTGTTAGTGCTTTATTTTGGTAGACTGCTGAATGGGTATGAGAAGTTGAACCTGGGTCTTGGTTGGGTCAGATTTTAGAGATTTGTTTGTCCTTGAATTTATACTATACAAAGTATGAAACTATCCTATTGAAATATAGGATTTGGAAACAAGGTATTAGTTCATAAGATATGATGAAAGGGTGTTAATGATGCTCTTTGGGGATCAAGATGACTGCGAGAATACTATGTCCTGAAATTTATGAGTGTTGCTGGATTTGGGTAACTTAGACCACACTGTATTAAAAAAAATGGGTCTCTGCTCCATAATATTGCTAAAGGATAGGGATATTTCTAGCTCTGCTCCAAATTAATGTTAAAGATGGGGATATTTGTAGCTAATATGCTGTAAGGAGGATGGGATATATGGTTTGAAGGAGCAAGAGGAGACTTGCAGAATTAACTTCTGGATGTTGTTTTAGAACTGCCTTGGATGATTGGATCTGGTAGAGATTATCAAGAGACGGGATTACTTCTGTTAGTCCATTTGCAAACTTCTCTCCAGAATGCCTACCTGTTGGAAGTTCATTTAGTTTACTAATGGTCTAAACACAGTTATTGAGCATCATGTGGAAAAAAGCTCAGTGGGGCGTTTTCCAGTCCCACACTCAATGAAGAGCATACTTGGCCTACGTAATGAAAATTCTGAAATTTTTATCCACTTTCTAAAATAAATATGCTTGGGACTAAAAGGCTATGTTGTTGTTGTTGTTTGTTCTAAAATAATTATATTTTCTAGACATATTAAATATCTGAATTAATAAAATAATAAACTACTGTCGACCCTAGATCTTAACTTAAGCCTCCACTGAATTTTTTATCTGCAATATATATCTGACACAAAAGGGCAAGTCTATGGAAATGTACTTTTTAAGCTAAGTAATTGATCTGTTCTCTCTCAACAGATATCTTTCTCTGCTGCAATGTGAGACAAGATAAAATATTATATCACTGAGTTTAAGTTCAAGTGTCTAGAGTTAAGATATTCTGCAGTACAAAAATGCTTTGAAGGTATATAGGATGGGGATTTCTTGGCACGTCAGAATAGAACTATCGTTGCCCACCTGAACCGAAAACTGAATATAGTTTATGGCAAATTAGTTGTTTATTTACGTTCTAGTTCTTTATTCTCCATTCTAGTTTGCATTTTAAACGGATGGTTTTCATCATAAGACAGAAATTTTGTACTATAGGTACTGAGATGCAGGTGTGGAAGTCTCTATTCAACTGTAATAAGTTTTGTGCTTGATTGTCACCTCGGCCTCAAGAACTTTTGTCTGTGTTATATTTAGCACCCACGTGACATATATCAAGGAAAAAATTCCTTCATCATCTCAACTTTTTTATCTTCAACCACATGCCGTACTTACATCAAGTTGCTTTACCATAGTCTTGCGCGAGCAACTTAATTTTTTTCCTGGGATCTGTCCTTTCTCGTCTGATTTTCACAGAACACTATTATTGATGAGCGTGGTTCATTTGCTGTGACTAGTCCCTTTCCAGGCCAACTTGCACGTATACTTAAATCGATAAAAAAGGTGCGATTACAATTCTTATTCTAGTATTTCATTTTTCACATGAATCCCACATTATTCTGTAATAGGTCGTGTGCACTCTTAATCTGCTTACTGGAATTAAGAAAAGTTGACTTATGAAGGAGATCAAAACATAATCTCTCCTTTGAGTTCTTTCTGTTCCTTTTTTAGAGCTTGGTTTTAATTATGGTTTTTGTATTATTCATTTGTAGAACATAGAACTTATTTGTTTCATGGCAGTCCGAAGATACTGACCGCTTTATATAACACAGCTACCAGCTCGGGTTGCTATGCTAGGGGACGTTGTGCGTCTTGAAGATGAAAAGGTATACCATTTTTTTAGGATTAAGGTTTCTATGTTATTATCACTATACATAAATTCTTGTTGATATCTGTAATTATTTTGTTTTGTTATTGTAACGTCACTGTAATTATTTGTTTTTTGATATCTGTAAATGCAAGTTCTCAATAAAGTCCTACCCCTACTTTCTCATTAGAGGTTGCGCAAGCATGGGTGATGCTTATTAAAAGGAGCACTCTTACTTGGCTGAAACAAAAACCATACATATTTATTGGACATTCTACGAATTTATCAATTCTGACAATGCTCTCTGACCTATAAAATTGGAATGAAACGTGTACAGATACCTTTTATTTAGAAATAATGAAGATATTATCTTACACCAAAAAATGATGGTGAGATATGATTTGTATAGCCAACCCCGCACAGTGACCCTTTTCTTGAACTAATACCATAATAAATTGATCGAACATTATGACTCCCAGAAAATGAGAGGTTTTTTAAAAGTTTATTCATATGTCTGTTGCAGGTTGAGTTGGCGGCTGAAAGCCTTAGGGATGCTTTATTAGCAGAGCAAAGAATTCTTGAAGAGTCGAGCTATTCGGTTACTGGAATACTGAATTCTTCTTATCCTAGTTTGACTTCCCGGAGTGCGAATCTCCAGGATTTACTCCAGGGCGAAAAACAACATTCTGTATACAGGTTCAATATAAGGTTAGGAGTAACCATTTCCTTTCCTTTTTCTTTTTTT